TCTGATACTACTCAATAGTGCATTTATTCAAGTCTCCATAAATCACAAAGCAGTGAAACTTCATTGTGATCACTCTTCCAGATCTAAAGGACACTGCCCCCCCCCCCCCCCCCCCCGTAGAAATTAAATCCATTTCACAAAGCCCGGGATTTTTTCCTCTACCAATATAGAGGCTAATTACAAAATTTCCCAAGAGATAATAAATATTAGACTCTAATCAACACATATGACACAAGATAAATAAGCTTAAAACTTAATCATGATTTCCTATTTATCTTTAATTATCCCCCACCTGGTAATTGGATAAATAAATATTTTCTGTTTTACTTATTTATACCTAGAGTACCACACTTTAATTTTTCCCATGTCAGTCTCAGTTTAAGCTGCTCTTCCAACTTAATTATGAGCTGCTCTTTACTCCCAGAGTGTCTTGGTTTAATGATAAATGATAAGTACTCCATTTGCCTAAATTTTTATTTCATGGAAAAGGCAGATTTAATAAAGCCATGAGAGCATGAGCAAAAGACAAAGGGTTAAGTGAGATGAAAAGATTGTATTAATATTAGAAACAAAAGGATAAAAATAGTTACTAAAAATAGGACTTGGTTCTGAGCTTACTGACAGCCAAATCAAAAAGGCGAAATAACACTGGGTACATATCCCTCATTTTGTAATGAAGCAAGACATCCAGTTTTCAAAAGCAGCATTTTTTTTTCCTGGCACTAAACTCTAGGCCCATGAAACAATTGTTAGTATCTTCAACACTAACAAGAAAAATTTCAGAAGATATTGAGACATTCTCTAATTGATGGTTTCTCATTTCAATCCAATGGCCATATTAATATTATGACCCCACAGTATTAAAACTGTGTTCTGGAAGCTGTTCCTAAGACAACAGGCATGGTAACATATTCCCGTTTAATGGACCAGAGTTAATCTGATCTGATTCAAATAAAATCAATTTAAGTTTTAGAAATTCTCTTCTGGTAATTTTTAAAGTATTTTTCCATTCTTCTATTCATGAATTATTAAGCAACTTTGGACATGAACCCAAGCAAGGCTAAGGAGTTGATCCTTGATCTCTAGAATCTGAGTAGAATCAGAGGAGCTCAGAGCAGGAGTTTTCATTGAGAAGACATCTGGCATTGTCTAGAGACTTTTATGGACAGAGGGCTGCTGGCATCAGGTTGGCAGAGGCTTGAGGAAGATTCCATGTGCAATGCTACAATGAAGAGCTAGCCAGCCTAACATGTTGGAGTGGCTGAGAAAGTTGCCCTAGGGTATTCTCAGAAGAAGGTACTCTAAGTACCTACTACTGGGGTAAGTAGGAAAAAAAATTAGAAGAAAGGACCTTAGACTGAGTCTCCCAATCCATCAGAATACAGCCAGAAGATGGCTCTTCTTAAACTGGAGGAATTTTGGAAAAAAAAAAAAGAGTTAGAGTGTCTTGGAGGAGGAGGCAAGGCATGTGGTTGGGATGCAGCCTTCAGAGGGAATTGCAGATGAACTAGAAAAGAAGAGACTCCATGGAGAACAAAAGGGAGAAAGCCAGGAGAGTATGTGTAAATTTAGAGCAGAGTTTCTGTCCTGATGCTATGCTCCAAGACCTCTGAATATTGCTAGTATGTTTTAAAACCACACAAATCAAAAGACAGCATAAACTTTTATGTCCGCGAAGATCGTCTTTTGAATTCTAGCTGGGTGTATATATATGAATAAGTTCATATTTTGCTTCCTCTCCCACACATCATTCTTTTTTTACCACTTACATAAGGGGGAGTCATTGGAACGCAAGTTTGTATCACACTGGAGTTAAAAATGGGTGCCACCTTAAAAATATAACCTCTCAAGACTCAGAAAATTCTGGACCACTGCTGTAATTAGATGACACCATAGGAATCTCCATTAAGAAATATTATTCTGACCTAGTTCTCTATGTCACGCTGCAGATTGTCCTTCTCTTGAGTCATGGAACGCTTTGTGAGAAAAGACTACAAAGCTGAGTCTCTCGACACTAGCCATCTCACCCTTCAAAAGTTCAGCCAGGAGTGGGACACAACCCTCGTCACCGTGTTGACATGTTTATTTCTGGCATAGGAAAATATTGCTGTTGCCCAATTCAGCTTCCCAGTCCATTCACGTGCCTGGAGACATATATTTTATGTCTTCCTTTGATGATTTACAAATAAATTAGCACAATCCACTAAGGTCTGCCAACATATATGCATTACCAGAGAAATCAGAGATGTGGAAAAATGATGGTAATTTATTGTATCCCAATACTTTATCCTCAAGAATCAAATAAATATCACGGACTAGTTTCCATACCTGACATATTTATTGCCGCATTCCTGCTGAGAACTTCCCATTGTCGTGTGTTCTCACACATTGTTTTCACAAATTGTATTTTGAAAGAATTAAAGAGAAATTCGGGCCAGAGAAGCAAGATGTTATCTTTTGGAAAGGATGAGCCCACTGTAATGGAAGAGGCTAACCCATTCAGAATTTGGGAAAGGCAGAGTCCTCCAGTGGGTGTGATAAATCCACAGGATCTGAACCCAGGGTTTTGCACTGGGACCCTGAAGTCAGCATGAGCAATTCAGCATGTTCCAAATATCATAGTGTATCATTATTATGATTGGACAAGCATGAACCTCTGTTAGGTCAAGTTTGCCCTGTTTCCTTAAAGGCAGTTGGAGTCACTGAACCCTGTTCAAATTCCTTCTATCACAAACAGATCCAAGGTGCATATACAATGCCAGACCTATTCCTTGATCACTTCTGTGTTTGGAAATTAGATTTGAAGGAAGGAAAAACTCACCTGTTCATCTCAGTTTAAGTCCCCATGAGAGTTCCATAGAAAGCTGAAGTTCTCTTCTCAGTTCCACAAGTGTACTGTATTCAAAAGATGAGACATCTGGAATCAGCTGACCTTTTTTGTTTTGTTAAGTACTGTCCATGTCTTAAGTGGTCATGCAGAATATAAGTCTCACACAGTCACAAGCTCTTCATCACCCCCTTTGCCTAATTCACTGATACCTTCTCAACTATCACTCAGTTGGCACCAAATACACAAGACAGTTTTTACTCAGTTGAATCCTAGTTTACTAATCCTTTTCAGGGTGAGTCCTGGCAAAGGACTCTTGTGAAGACCCTGTGAGTCCTCCTTTTTCAGATAAACTGTATGAGTTGCCCGAGATCATATGCATTGATAGTGGTAGAGAATTTCTGAAGTCCAGGTCTGGGTGAAATGAGAGCCATCTTTTACTTTTTGGTGGTGGTACTAGGGTTCGAACTCAGGGCCACAGGCTTTCCAGGCACATGTTCTACCACTTGAGCCATGACAAGCAGAGAGCTGTCTTTTGAAAATGCTAACAGTATTCATCAACTTGAAGTACCTCGTATAGAGCCAGCCATCTGATCAGGGACACACAGTCTCAGCTCTAAAATGCCTTGTAGTCTGCTACAACACTTGGTTCTAATCAAAGCAGAACATTAAAGTTCTGATTAAGAACTGTCCTTGGAACAACCCTCATTCAAACCAGACCCAAGAATAGAATTCTCTTTGGTTTTCCCTGTGTTATTCAGAGAGACAATAAACCACTTTCTTGACTGTTCTGTAGAAGGTCTTTGGTGGGTATGTAAATGATTAGCTAATCACAATATTGTTAAAATTAGGAGAGTTTGGTTGTACCTTACCAGGACCCAGCCTATGAAGACGTGTGCCAGGCTGACAAGCTCTTTTGGCTTAGTTTAGCAACAAGGCTACCTGAAGGAGGAGCTCTTCTGGTTTGGAACTGAATTGGAATGACTTGGCCGATCAAACTTGAAAGCTCAAGTCTTTTATTTAGCAGTTTAGTCAAAGGAAGATAACCAGAAAGCCACAAAGAGGTTGTTAATCTGCTCCACCCTTTATTTTTGTTGCTTATTTGATGCTGATGAAATCCTGACATTGGGGGTAGCGGGTGGGGGTGAAGGGTTAACTGAGTATTACACAATGTACAAACATCACCGACATTTACCAAAGATCACATTCCAAGATGTAAAACGAAATACAAGAAAGAAAAGGAAAGAATTTCTCCCAATTGAATTCCCAGAGGATCTGAAAAGCATGTCCAATGTGTCTAGTAGGGCATTAAAAATAATTATCCCAGAAAGCTATCACTCCCTTGGTTGTTTTAATGTATTTTTGTCTACAAACAAGAGCAATTTTCTAAACCACTGCCTTGGCTTATTTTAAAAGGTCTTTAGAACAAAAATACTTGGATGAACCCAGGATTACTGGCAACAGCAACGCAGGGCTGTGAGTGAGAAAGATAAAAACCGATGATGCACGTTGTGATGTCAGGCTTAAAATATTGTATAATTAAAATAGGGTAAAATGCTGGAGCTTAGAAACAAAGAAATAATCCTATCAGGAAAATTAGCAAGTTTATTTAACAGGATGTTAAGTAAGAATTTTCAAAGCACAGTATAAAATTGCTCTTCTGCTGCCCAGATGGCTCCATGCAGTGACTTCTTCATGTAATTAGAATGCGCTCCCCTCCTCTTTCTGTCCTCCTCTCCTCCTCCTCCTTCTCTTTCTTATCCTTACAACAACAATAATCAGTATTATAAGTTATCACATACTGAGTGCTAGTCTTTCTCATCCATTTTCTCCACTTCTCATCATTTAAGTAAGCAGTTATTAGCACCATGTGCTAGGTGAGGAAGTTGAGGCTCCAAGGATTGGAACAACAGCCATTGGGTTGGATGGTGGAGCTTTAGTAGTCTGGAAGGAATGAAGTGCACTTAAGTAATGGTTGAGGATCCATTTCTGACACAAGCTCTAGTTGTAGTTTATCTGGCGATGATTCACAAGTCAAAGTGAAATTCAGTTGCTTCCCACTGACTGTTCCCACCATTCAATGTCAACTAAACTCTGCCCACCCATTTCCTGTTTGTAGCAAATTCTTACCTGTACTTTGTCCTTGAAATTATTATTTTTTTGTTAATTACAGAAAGCAACAGTGTGGATACATTGTGGAGGAGTTACCAAACGAATTTGCTACTAAAAGGAATCCCAAGGTGATGTTTTCCCTCTCTGAATCATTATTCTCTCTCCAAACTTGAGTTTTTCAATGCCAGGACTCAATAGAGAGGGAGAACAACAACAAATCCTCAAAGAAACAATTGCCCAATAAATAAGTGGGCTAAAGACTTAAAGAGAAACTTCTCTGAAGAGGAAACAAGGATGGCCAATAGACACATGAAGAAATGCTCAACCTCCCTAGCCATAAAAGAAATGCAAATCAAAACAACATTGAGATACCACCTCACCCCAGTTAGAATGGCTATAATCAAGAACTCTAACAACAACAGATGCTGGAGGGGATGTGGACAGAAGGGAACCTTACTGCATTGTTGGTGGGAGTGTAAACTTGTTCAACCACTTTGGAAAGTAGTATGGAGGTTCCTCAAAAGACTCCACATAGAGCTCCCCTATGACCCAGCAATCCCACTTTTGGGCATTTACCCAAATGATCACAAACAAGACCATACTAAAGGTACCAGACAACTATGTTTATTGCAGCATTATTTACCATAACTAAGATATGGAACCAACCCAGATGCCCCTCAGTAGATGAATGGATCAAGAAAATGTGGTATATATACACAATGGAATTCTTTTTTTTTTTTTTTGGTCGGTCGTGGGGCCTGAACTCTGGGCCTGGGCGCTGTCCCTCAGCTCTTCAGCTCAAGGCGAGCGCTCTACCACTTGAGCTACAGTGCCACTTCCGGTTTTCTGGCAGTTTATTGGAGATAGGAGTCTCACGGTCTCTCCTGCCCGGGCTGGCTTTGAACTGCGATCCTCAGATCTCAGCCTCCTGAGTAGCTAGGATTACAGGCGTGAGCCACCAGCGCCCGGCTTACACAATGGAATTCTATGCCTCCATCAGAAAGAATGACATTGCCCCATTTGTTAGGAAATGGAAAGACTTGGAAAAAATTATATTAAGTGAAGTAAGCCAGGCCCAAAGAAATATAGGTCCCACGGTTTCCCTTATTTGCAATAAGTAGTATATGTCTGAGACAAACAGAAACTGTCAGACAAGTTGATGTTAGGTGAAATGAACCCCAAGATAAGGATTCAAATTTTTTTTTCTTTCTTGCGATTGTTTCCAACATATTTATAAGATGATTTCTTTGTTGCTTTGTATGTCCCTCCCCCACGGTATAACTTCTGTTTTTACTGTAATTGATGTTGGTGTAATTTGTGGAGGGGAAGGGAAAAAACAAATTGTTTAAATAGGGATACAGGTGAACCCATTGCAACAATGAGATATACAAGACGTTAGTTATGTCGAGAAACGAACTTTACAATTTTGGCAGGGGGGTGTGGGGAAGGAGGGGAGATGGGAAGGGGAAACAAAGGAGGAGGCAACAATGCTTGATAAGAAATGTACTCACTATCTTGCCCCTGTAATTCTAATCCCTCTGTACAGTATTTTCACAATAAAAAAAATAGTGAGGGGGTAAAAATGTTGAACACACCCATATTGTATCTATAAATAAAGCAGGAGGCCTTTGAGCCAAAATAACTGCTCTGGTTTTAACAAGGTGCTTTCAAGAGATCTCAGAGCTACGTCAGTTTTGATGGTCACAGGAAGAAGGAAATACTCCTTCATAAACCCAGAGGCTCCTGAGTATGTGCAGCTATGCCCATGTAAGCCCACATGCTTCTGAATTATAGGAGCTATGGGGTGTGTGTGTGTGTGTGTGTGTGTGTGTGTGTGTGTGTGTGTGTTGTGGGCATCATCATCTTTTCCTTACATGCCTTTAATGTGATTCTTGTTCCTTCTCTTCCCTTTCACAGTGAACTCTCATTCACATTGCTGGTAGTTCCCATTTTTGTTCCCCAGCACCTTCACACAAATAATTCTGAAATTCTATTAACAAAATATTCTTTTCTTTTCTTTTCTTTTTTCTTTTTTTTTGGTCCGGTTGTGGGACCTGAACTCTGGGCCTGAGCACTGTGTCCCTCAGCTCTTCAGCTCAAGGCTAGTGCCCTACCACTTGAGCCACAGCACCACTTCCAGCTTTTTTCTTTTTGCTTATGTGGTGCTGAGGAATCGAACCCAGGGCCTCAGGCATGCAAGGCAAGTGCTCTACCACTGAGCCAACTTCCCAGCCCCAAAATATTCTTTTCTTAAAAAAGAAGCTGGCTCCATAGGCACCTGACACATACACTGAAATACAGAACTCCGACCAAAGTTCACTTTCTGGGACTTATCATGTTGTGGGTAGGGAAGAAGGGTTACACACTTCAGGCAAGGACTCAATGCTCCAAAGTGGACCCAGCTCTGGGCCCATGGAGCCATGGGTCCCCAGTCAGATCTTTGGGATCACAACTCCCCTAGGAAATGTGTCTGGGTTCCAGTTACTCCTTGATTTTTCCTGGAAAAGGGAAGGTCTGTGGGCAGGACTAAGAGCTAGCTATCAGAGGACACCCTGTCCAGCCTGCTAGGTTCAACCCAGAAAGCCTGAGCAGTGCTATTAACCCAAGCCACATGTGTGAGGCCTGGGTTCCCCTTTTGGAAACACGAATAGAACTTTAAGGCTTCATTTGGGCCACTTGGCCCTTTTGTAGAGCAGGAAGCTTTTGGCAAGCTAGCAATGGAACAGGAGGAGGAGGAAAAGGAGGAGGAGGAAGATGACTATATCTATAACCTGTTTATGACGTGATTGGCATGAAGATTACTGCTCAGGTCCCTGAATAGCACAGGTTCAAGTTAGCATTAAACTGTATATCTTTTCAATAACAACTTGGGGCCACAGACTTCAAAAGGCAGGCCCAGGAGATACTTCCCTGAGAACAAAGATATGTTTTGTTTTTAATGAGCTTATTGTTTTACAACAAGATAATAAGAGCTGGGAGAAGAGATTACCCTGTTGTAGGAACCCACCATCCAGTATGTTGTGGCCCTGAAACAGAACAATGGGTGACAGAAACTCTTTTGTGAGCTCTTTTGATGGAGCCAAAGTTGGTTGGCAGTACATGATTTCCACGGTCTACTGAGTGCCAAAGATGAGGATGGCTTGTTGCCATAAACTCAACTACACAGTCAGTCAGACCTAGTTTCACCAGCCTAAGGCTGCTCTGACTTTTGATAATTTTTTTAACAATAGAAATGAAACTGCCAGAGGGAGGAGAAGGAACAATGGTGTTTTGATAAATGGAATAAAGACAGAGTGTGACTGACAATTCAGGTCAGGAATAACAACAACAAAAATTAAGGCCCAGATTTATGTCCCTGTGCTGCCTGGCCAAGAAGCAAAGCCTCCAAGGGAGGTTCCCAGCGACATGGTGGATAGCTGGATGGTTGCCACTGAGACGCAGCAAATTTGTTGGATATTTTCTCCAAAATGACACTTTTTTCTAAAAGACTGCAAACACAATACACATGATGGCCAGAGAATCTCTGAGATTTAGGAAGGATGAACTAGAGCGAGATAGTGAGACTTCAGGCTAGTTGGAGATCAACTAGCATGATTCAGATGAGCTCTGGCCCATCAAACAAGTGAGGCTAAGAAGCCTCTAGCTGTCCTTTCTAGACTCAACAATCCTCTGAAACATGGCAATTAGGAAGCATTCATTCATGGCTTTAAAATATTGTTTATAAAAGTATAGCATAAAACAAGCTTGGAAGAGGCTTTATGTGAAAGTTCATGTGAGAAACGCAGCTCTTAGCACACATGCCATTCCCCACCTTGACCCCAAAAGGAATGTGTAAATTGTAACATATGGAATGTAAGCATCTCTGGAGTGTGGAGAAATTTCATAAATCTGCCTGGCAATGAGCATCACAAGCCTTGCATGAGAGCAGACCCCAGAAATAGAGAGATGGTGAATGTCATGTCTAAAGTTTACCTTTTAAGTTATTAATCAACCCAGAATCTGGCAATCAAAAAATTTCTACACAATGTTCCTTAATAATATTGATTATTTCCTGATAAGAAGGATCTTCTTTTATAGGATCTAGCCCAGAAATTGTTAACAGAATTATCTATCCATACATCCATTCAAAAACTCTCTACTGAGAGGCTGCAAGATGGCAGATAGTGTGCTATGGATTTCAGTGGAGAACAGGGCACTGTTGCTTTTGTGGGATTTACTAAATGGAAGAAAACAGGTATTAGAGAATAATAAAGAGTGCTGTGAAGGAGGAGATTAGCCTATACTAATATAGTGTAGCCACTTTTCCAAATCTTCTTGCATAGCTTATCTCATTTAATCCTGTACCAAATCCCCTGCAGGAGGCACTATCTCGAGCCTGGAGATGGAAGCCAGGAGGTCTTCGAGTCTTCCCCAAGACCACAAAGCTAACGGGTGGTGAGTTAACATGTAAAGTGTGAGTCCATGTCCCAAATTCTATTTTTTATGACCTGGATAGAGAAAAGATGCTGATTTAGATAAGAAGGCTCAAATACTTTCCAGGAGCTGAGGTTGGGGCTCAAATGGGTAGGACATCTGCCTAGCTAGTGGAAGGCACTGAGTTCAAACCCCAGCACTACCTCTAAAAAATACTTTTCAGGATACGATTTAGGGTTGAAACTCAAGAATAAGTAGGAATTTGTTGGGAAAAAGAAAGGTCAAGGGACAGTTCAGGATCGGGGAATCAAAAGACCCAGGAAAGTGGTTGGCCCTGGAGGTCCTGGGGACAGATGGATATTTCTGGAGGAGAGAGACCAAGTGGGGGGGAGGGGAAGATTGGAGAGGGAGTGAAGGGGCTGAGCACTTACAAGTCTTACTGAGACTATTTAACTAAATGCTGAGCCTCTGAGGATTGGGACCAAATAGCACAGTTCTGGGACATACTGCTACATCCAGGAGAGGTTTGCCCAAGGACACCTGCGCCTGATGCTGACTGAGTTGGTAACTCACTCTTCCTACCTGCCACCTTTGTAGGTAAGTGGGTCCTGGAAACTGTAACTTTAACAGATCGCTGTGCTCTGGTGCAGTGAAAAGACAGGGCTATCAGTGAAAGAGCCAAGGTTCCTTCTGCGCTCAGATCCGCTTCATATTAATTTCCCTTGTCATCATTAATTTGGGCATTGCCCAAACGGTGGGATCCTAATACAGTTTTAAAAAATGAGCAGGGCACTGGTGGCCCACACCTGTAATCCTGGCTACTCAGGAGGCTGAGATCTGAAGGTCACTGTTCAAAGCCAGCCAGGGCAAGAAAATCTGTGAGACTTTTATCTCTATTTAACCACCAGAAAACCAGAAATAGTGTTGTGGATCAAAGTGGTAGAGTGCTAGTCTTGAGCAAGAGAGCTCAGGAACAGCACCCAAGACCAGAGTTCATGGCCCACAGCAAAAAAAAAAAAAAAAAAAAGAAAGCAAAGAAAAGAAAAGAAAAGAAAAAAAAAAAGAAACATGATGCTTCCCCCAAATATCCATATTAAATATGGTAGTGTTTTCTTACACTCCCAGGACAGATACCCTGTACTTGTGTATTTATTTTGTCAGTTCTTCCATCCACTAATTAAAAGATTTCCATGTGCGTGGCACCACAAAGGTAATAAACTCAAAAGTAAATAATATGAAAGCCCTTGTGCTCCAGAGTGGAGTCTACTTCCAAGGTGGCTCTCATATCACATGATACCACCCATCCCCCATGGTAGACAAAATGGTGACTTCCCAGAGATGTTCTCAACCCAGTTTCTGGAACCTATGACTGAATATGATGGAAGTTGAAGGTCTTGAAATGAAAGCTTACCTAGGTGAGTACAGTGTAACCTCAAGAACCCTTACAACAGTGAGAGAGGATCTGAGTTGGAGAGAAAGCTTCCTAGGCAGAAATAGAGTGAGTGATGTAAATGCCACAAGGGGCCCCAAGCCAAGGAAAATGGGGAGTCAATAGAGCTGAGAAGGTCAGGTACAGATTCTCCACCAGATCCCCAAGAAAGAAGTGTAGAGTGCCAATGTCTTGATAACACCCAGCCAGGGCTTCCAGTCTCCATAACGGTAAAATGAAAATTGTTGTTGCTTTTAGGCCACTAAATTATTACATCAGTAATGGAAAACAAGGCCATTCCTCACTCAGACGATGACTGGACCCAGGACAGATTCCTATAATCTCTCACAATTTCCCACTGGGTCAAGAAACTCCTACAATCCTTCTTTACCAAATGCCTCCTATGAATCAGTGAAAAGCAATTCACTTGCAATCCATTAGGATCTATATAATTTATACCTGGCACCATGTAGATAGATTTGATATTTCTTTCATAGCTCTTTTTGATATGGGTCCCTAAAAGTAGTTCCTGAATTCTGTGCGTTCTTGGTCAAATCAGATACATCTCTTTTCTCTAAAATCTTCGTCTCTAAACTGAGTAGCAATGATGTCTATTTCCAGGATTACTGTAAAGATTAAATGAGCTCTAGATCAAAGCATTAGTGATAGTGCCTGGAGCAATGATGATGAGAATCGTCTTGGGGTTCAGTTCTGGCTTCAATATGGCAAACAAGGCAGGGGAGCAAAAGTGGGCACAATTTGACCAAATTGAATTGGGGGAGCAAATGGGATAAGGGTGATCATGGTTGAAATAGGAAGACACGAGTAGACCTGAGAGAAGTCTGAGGGGTGAACGTGCAAGCTTGTTAATGGATTGCACATGGAAATGAGGTTTGTCTGGGATGAGAGTAAAGAAGTATAATAATGCCAGGCACCAGAGGCTCAACATCAGTAATACTAGCTACTTGTAAGGCTAAGAATGGGAAAACTGAAGTTCAAGACCATTGCAGGCTGAGAAAGGATAGCTCCTTCTCATTCTATAGCTAGACACAATATCAGATACTGGTCACCCTAACCCCTGGAAGGCTGAGATTGGGAAGATTATAGTTTCAGACAAGTCACAGACAGAGTCTCACAGATTCTCAATAGAAGGAACTGGATACGCCTGTCATCCTAATTACAATGAGAAGCATGATTTGAGATCATATCTCAAAAATACCTAGCACAAAAAGGGCTGGATGCATGGCCCAGCAGTAGAGCTCTTGTCTAGCATGCATGAGGCCCTGAGTTCAAACTCTAGTACTACTGAAAGAAGGCTGATAATGACATGTAAATGCAATATGAAACAAATGTTTATCCTGCTCCTCTCGTTCCTTTCCTCCCATCTTTCCCCACTGTGATGTGTTTTTTCTTTCTTTTAGAGTAAAGACACAACCAAAAAATAAGAACAAGGACTCAAAGAAGGCTTCAAGTACGGAAACATGAACCATCTGACAACTTGTAGGAAAAACAAGAGATTCTTCTATCTGCATTTCAATTCGTCTGTGCCAGTATGTGAAGAAGGCATTGTAGGTGGGCAGAAGGAGGGAGGGAAAAATGAGAGAAAGAAAAAATAAAATGTAGATGTCTGAAATGATTTAAAAAAACAATTGTGTGGCATAAGAAAAAATGATTTTAATGCTTATAATGAAATCAAGTTAGAGCTGGGCTCCAAAGGCTCATGCGTGTAACCCTAGCTACTCAGGAAGCTGAAATCCAAGGATGGAGGTTCAAAACCAGTATGAACAGATAAATCTTAGAGACTCTTATTTCCAGTTAGCTAACAAAAAACCAGAAGTAGAGCTGTGGTTCAAGTGAAAGAAAAAGCTAAAGGATAGTACCCAGGCCCTGAGTTCAAGTCCTTAGCACAAAAGAGAGGGTGGGGGGAGACAGAGAAATTGGGTTGGAGCTGTGGTCAGTAGATGGAGATTAACAGGCCAGGTAGGGGGTGGGGTGTAGAGTGTTCTGAAGATGCAGGCAGAACAGGCGAACCCTGACTTTGCCCCAATGAACTCAGCCCTATATCTCCCCTTCTCCACTTGCCCTGCATGAGATGAGCTAGTACTTGTGTTTCTTGAGATAGGAAGGACCCCCCCAAAGACCCCTAATCGTAAGGAAGGAATCCTCAGGAACAATGTCATCCCAAGAAGCCCATCTAGTTTCTCTGGCTATACCAGCTTGGGGTGGCCACCTTACCCTGGAAGGACCTTCTGTCTCTGTCCTCCCAAAATACCTCCCTTAAAGGCAAAATGTTTGTGAGCTGGCCTACTCAGAATTGCTGAATAGTGCAGTATATCTGTGCATGCAACAAAATACCTTTTTTCCCCCTGACTTGGCTGTGCTCAGCAGAAGGGAGGCAGGAAGGTACACTTTGAAACTGTAGCCAGCAGATTGAATTCAATTTTAGATACAAATGTCAAGGAAAAGCTCCCTTGGCTCTGTGCTCCTTGCTTACTGAGGCGCAGTGTGATGCTCCATTGAAAGGCCTGCTGATCTGGCCAGCGTGGGGCTGATAATAATACAGGGAGGGGAGCGAGCAGCTGCCACTGCAGGACCAGTGACCTTCCCAAGGATGCAGAGGAAAAACTCTGCCAGAATCTGCTGTACTGCCTGGACAAAGCGAGAGAGCCATTTAAGACCCAGTATCACCACACATATGTTGTGTCACCCACTCCCTTAGCCTGGCCTTGGTTTTCCTAGCATTTAAAAGAACAAAAAGCTGGGCACTGTGACTCATACTTGTAATTCTAGCAACTCAGGAGGCTGAGATATGAGGATCCTGATTCAAAGCCAGACTGGGCAGGAAAATCTGTGAGACTCTTATTTCCAATTACTCACCAAAAAGCAGGGATTGGAACTACAGGCCAGAGTTGAGTGAAAAAGCTAATGGAACAGTGCCTAGGTTCTGAGTTCAAGCTCTAGTACCAGCCTTTAAAAGATAAAAATATGAAAGGATGGAAATAGATGATCTCTTAAGGCTTTTCTTTCTAGTATTTTTATGATCCTAGCATTTACAGCCTTTATAGAAGAACATAATTAATGTCTGCTAAAACGTGGCATAGCCTTGTGGTGGGTGATTTGATTGTAGCCTTTCTATCTTACAATAAGCATACCATTTGGCCCAGAATGTCAATTCTTTGCTGTAGTCTCTGGGAATCATTGACTACACAATGATGCAAACATGGATGCTTAGCACTGCAAACTATCAAAGGGAAATGATATACTCACTAGTAGGAACATGGTTAAAGAAAACTAGTACCTCGTAATCAGTGAGGGAAGGGTGGATTGGGACAGATGGGTGAGATAGGAAAGGGGCGACATTGTCCAAGATGCATTGTATTCATAAATTGCTTTGTTAAATAGCAACTCCTTTGTACAACTACTTAAAGATAATAAAGATTTAAAAATTAATAATGCAGATCCAATTAAAAAAAATAAGTGCAAAGCCCTGTAAAAAATGTATTCATCGTGGTTTTCTAGCTATTGAATTATAATTTATAAGCCAGCCTGGGGAAGGAAAAGTCCATGAGACTCTTATCTCCAATTAGCCACCAAAAAGCCAGAAGTAGAGCTGTGGCTCAAGTGCTAACCTTGAGTACAAAAGCCCACTGACAGTACCCAGGCCCTGAGTTCAAGCTCCAGGAGTGGTATACACACACACACACACACACACACACACACACACACACACACACAATTAGTAAACTAAAAAAAGAAGAAAGTAAGAAAAAGAATGCAGATCTGTATGAACTGAAAAGGAAAGAATAACAAAAAGGAAAAAAATCCTACAATGTGACTCTAGGTAAAGAAAATAGACGGTAGATTAAATCACACAGTAAGAGCATGATTTCCCTGAAAATGAACTTTAGGTATATATACTGTTATGTTATATATTATACTTGCTTTTCACACACTTGAAAACAGCAGTGGTATATATGGTAGTCACAGACCACATAGGGGTTTAAACTCAGGGCCTGGGCTCTGTCTCAGCTTTTTTGCTCAAGAGTATCATTCTACCACTTGAGCCACAGCTCCACTTCCAAATTTTTGGTGATTAATTTGAGGTAAGAGTCTCATGGACTTTTCTGCCTCCATCTGGCTTTGAACTGCAATTCTCAGATCTCAGCCTTCTGAGTAGCTAGGATTACAGGCTTGAGCCACCGATGCCCAGCTTTAACTATATTTTTTGGACAGCTGCTACAATTGAAAAACTGAGATATTAATTTATTCAATTTTAATTACTGCAAGTTTATTTTTTTTAATAACTGGCACTTAATTGAGTTATTGGACAGCTTTTCATATGTCTGCAACAACCTGGCTATGCAGATCCAGTTTTTCAACTGTATGTTTTATGAAATCTAAATTTTTAACATCTAAATGGAGATGAATACAAAATACACAGACTCAGGACAAAAAAGAATGAAAAAGTAGCTGCAATAATTTTACTTCTCATTATTTGATAATGTTACATATTGGAATGATTGCTTGGATATGTTGGATTTAATAAAATATATGACTAAGATTTATTTTACCTGTTTCTTTTTACTTGTTTAATGTGGCTACTGGGAAAATTTAAGTGATACATGTGACTCAGCTGAGATTGATGGGAGGAGGGAGGAAGGGAGGCCTAGACTTTCCTTTTTTACATTACATAGTTTTGTACTATTCAATTTTATTACAATATGCAGGGGTGACATTTATACTTTCATAATTTACAAAGAATAGTACAAACTTTTATATCATTGAAGCAAAAATTAATTTCAATTATAAACTGTGCGTGTGTGTGTGTGTGTGTGTGTGTGTGTGTGTGTGTGTGTGTGTACCAACATGTACCAGACAAGGGTTTAAAGTCAGTGCCTGGGCACTGTCCCTGAGCTTTTTTTATCTAGGCTGGTGTTTTGCCACTAGAACCACAGTTCCAGTTTTTAGTTTTTGGTGGTAAGTTGGAAATGAGAGTCTCATAAACATTTTCTCAGGCTGGCTTTGAACCATAATCCTCAGATCTGTCTCCTCAGTAACTACGATTACAAGCATAGGCCACTGTACCCTGGTAATAAACTTCTACAAACTAAGAAAATTTCTCCCTCTAATTCATTTCTTTTGTGATATTGTATCAGGGTCTGGAAGAAATATTTTGCCATCAGATGATTATAAACTAGAACTCTCCCTGGTGTCTTCATGATTTACCAGCAGTTTCTAATTGTCTAACCTTTTTTTTTTGATTACTGCTATCCTTGACAAGGTGTGATTGCCTGACAACCATCCCAGCTGTGTTGGGAAGGGAGATTTTTTTTTTTTTTTTTTTTCTCAGAGAGTAGGAGTTAAGCCCAGGAGAGTTGGGGAGAGGGAGAGATAAATAACCCTTAAAGAAATCTCCTCTTTCTCTCTCTAATTCCCTCCTTGCCCTGTATCAAGATTCCCCAAAGCCTCGGGAGCTGTAGCTTTAGGCTGAACTTCCTACCTCACTAAGTGACAAGGCCAGGATGTTACTGGTCCCCACACAGACACGTCTGTATTCTACATAAAGATGTCTGTGTTACACATAAACACGTTATGGCTGTAGCAATATCACTTTCAAAGGAGCACTAATCCGCTGAAGTCATCGAGTCAGAAAACATTTGCTTCTCCATGTCTGGTGTCTGAGCTGAGTGTGTGAGAGGGAGAAAGAGGAGGGAGGAAAGGATAGAAAGATAAAGAAAGAGCAATTGCGTTTTTATAAAACCTGACTCTGTAGATATAAAAGTATTCCTCTGGTTTCGTGTTTGTTATGGCATTGTTCTCCTATACTATTTACCCTGTGCTTTAAAACATGGATTATGATCTTTCTGTACAAACTTACAGATATCTCAAATCAGTGTTCTGGGTAAGAAGTAGTTGGGTTTGAATGGATGTCACAGAGTCACATGGGCAGAGAAAACTCAGCTGCAGTTCTCATAAAGCTCAGGAAATAACTGACTCACTGCTCCCCTAAAACTCTACACTACTCATATCACAGCCCCCATCTCCCAGATCATATTCGCCTATTTTTATTTGTCTGTCTTACTAGACTGAGCACACCGCGAAGCACCACTATCCCAGACACTGTAGACAGTAGGCTCTTGATTATAGTTTGTTGATTACAAGGAAGGAAGGAAAGGAAGAATGGAAGGAAGGAAGGAAAGAAGGAAGGAAGGAAAGAAGGAAGGAAGGAAGAAAGGAAGGAAAGTATAAAAGAAGGAAGAAAAGAAGGAAGGGAGGGTGGGAGGGAGGGAGGGGGAAGGAAGGGAGGAAGGAAAGGTAAGGGAGAAAGGGTTAGAGCTGGCATCTAACCATCATCACTAAAACATTAATAAAATGAGAATTTTATCACAACGACTTGTGGGATCTTCATCTTGATTAATACTATCATTTATATATGTATATATATAAATCCTATTATGGACTATAAGATGGCTAAGCAAATGTTAATTTTAACAAACACACACACACATCCCCGCTCTTGTGACATTTACAATCTAGGGAGAGAATAAAAGGCTTAAATAAATTAGAAATTAAAACTGGGGGAGAGAGAACAAAGGGGTGTTCAATATCCAAAAAGAAATGTGCTCTTTACCTGACTTATGTAACTGTAACTCCTCTGTACAGCACCTTTTTAATAACAATAAAAAATTAAAAATAAATAAATTAGAAATAAAAAATTGTTAGAGCATCTCTGAAGGATATGATCTAAAGCAAGGAC